ATATGCATAACTCATTGAGTTAGAACGTGGCTCATAAGAGTAAAATCAAAACCACTTCTTTCTTCCTTGAACTTTGGAGAAAAACAATCTAAACAATAAAAAACTGAAGTAGTAATATTTAATCAGAGAAAAGTTTACAAATTAGCTATTATGTTCTTTAGATTACTTGCATGACTTGAGATTTATACTTGGTTATTTTACATTCTGTAAAGATTTGTATCTTTCCTACTAAACATTAGATGCCACAATTATATTAATTTTACTACTAATAATGATGGAATTGGAGAAAAGGCAAATTACAGGTTATTTATGTAGTTTTTGGATTCTAGATGTGACTTCTAACTAGTCTACAAATGTTAGCGTTTGTAATTAGGAAATGTATTTGTTTTAATTTTTTTTTACAGATCAGTTGTTTTTACCTGAAAAAAAACCCTAGAGAACCGTAGTATGCAACCTTTCTTTTAATATTTATCTTCCAGCATTATAAAATTTGATTCATAGTTATGAAACAATCTTTGCATTTTATATATTACAATTTTTTAAACTTTAATTTTAAAAATATGTACATGTATATATGTATATAAAATAGTCCTTCTGAATTTTTTTAATGGGGTCAGTAGTTGGGAAATCATTCTTGAATTCTATTACTGAGAAGCAAAATTGTCCATCTTACCAATAAAAATGGCAATGTGGTACCTGCATGCCTAGTAGCAAGCTGTAGGTCTTCCAGATATATTTGTTACAAAGTCTGAAAATAAAAGTATTGCATTCAAAATAACCTTAGAGAACCTTATTTTCTATTGAAAAAGTAAAATCAGAATATTAAACATCATTTACCTAGGAAAAATAAGCACCGGAGCCATGAACTCTTTCCTTTCTGTAATTAAAAAAAGACAAGTTCACAAAAGACCAAAAATAGGAAGATATTTAATGCAAAAGTTTCTCATTTTCTTTAATAATTTTTAGTTTACATGTGCTCCATTTTCCACATGTAACAGTCTAAGGATAAATAAAAAGAACAGTGTTAGTATTTGTTCACAAGTTACGTCTTCATTGATCCACTATGAACCAGGAAGTAGAATTATGCTGTAAAATCAAAAATCTGTTTGGGAGTTTGACCTTGCTAGCACAGAATTATCATGATTATGAAACTACCACACTTCCAGAAACATTTTTATTCACTTCTTCCCCCCGCCAAAAAATAATATTTGTTGCAGGTATTGCAGAGAAGTATCTTGCTTTCATTTTTATTTCATTTTTCCTACCCCCTTCTTTATCTAGCACCCCATGCCCCCTTTGCACTAATGGAACATAAGAAACTGCTCTATACTTGTAGTGTTTATAACAGGATTCCCATTCCAGATTCCAGGACGCTAGAGCAGCTGGAAGTGTTTAGTGGCTGTCTGTACCAGTACTCCCATCTTTTAGCATTAAAATTAATTTTCCTTGTCTTGGTGTATAAAGAACCCAAGTGTGCCCCTTTCCTTGTTACCTGAAATTTTACAGTGACACCAACAGCAGATGTGGCAGAGCAGCTTTTTGGATATCGAAAGTGGAAGCTCTAGGAGCATTCACTTGAATAGGCATTGCCATTCTTACAGCCTTTACTAGGTTCTTCCTTTATGTCTGCTGATGGCTGGAGCAATGAGGATGGATATGATCCAGGTTTTCCCATCACTTGGACAGCTCACAATTTTCCTACTTAAGGAAGAGAACAACTAGACACGTAGCTGAAGATTGTACTTGGTGCATAGTACTAATCAGCAATCTGCTGACGGTCACAGAGGTGGCTGAATAACTGAACATGTTTATTTATGTATACTGCAGTGTTGTGACACAAGGTAAAAATGAAAGTGGTTTGTTAACTATCTTAGCTGCTGTTCCAGTACTGCGTTTATTCTCTGTATGTATTTTGTTTATTTTGTGCATGTATTGGAGCATATCACACTGTGCTCCATAAAATCAGTGTTCCTGAGCATTATGTTTTTATAGAAGCATTATGTTTAATATGGATATATGTGGTGGGGGAGTGGGCAGTTTGGATCCCAGTTGGATGCAAGTATGCAGTTACACTAAGGTACTCATGCTGGGAAATTTTTGGATATTCAGGGAAATAGACACCTGATCTTCTTGGAATGAAATTTGAAATCAGATATTTTTATTAAATTTGTTTTCTTTTTGGCACTAAGCTGAAAGGTGTTGTGTCTGGTGGTTTCATGACATCATATTTATTTCCTAAAAAAAAATGTATTGTGGTTATTTCAATAGTGAATGTACCATTGTCTGACACTGTCAATGGGGTAGATTTACAGACAGTAGAATTGGAATAATATATACATGAAAGTGAAACTTAGAGGTTCTGGGGTCAAACCTTAGCGGTTTGATGTGAATGGCTGTTTCAGCATTGATTTCAATGGGGTTGGGGTCCATGTCTTTTGAATTCCATAGAGGAAACTGTGAACTGTTAATTATGTCTTTATAGAGCCTCAAGGATAAAATCCTAATAGTTAAATACCTTGCATGGATTTATAGTTGTAAGAATATATTGTTTGTATCTAAGTGTATATTAATATTTTTTTCTAAGATACATCTTTAAAGTGTTTGAAGATATTACCCTTCCATGTAGTCATAAAAATAAAAACTTTTCTTGCTAACAGGTACATGAAATATGGTGAAGCCATAGTTTTGAAATGTTAGACCATTCTGAACTATTCTGTTAGAGATCCTAAATTTGTTAAAACTACATTGAATAGTATCAACAGATACAGCTAGGTATAAAGCTCTCTCTGTAACTATGAGAGTAGCCTTTGCTAAAGTAAAAATAAAGAAAAGACAAAAATAGATTTAGGAACTTTAGATGGTACTTCAGTTAATTATATAATGATGATAATAAAAATTGAGTATAATTGTATTTAGACTTATTTAGTTCAATGACTGAAATTTAAATATATCTCTTGAATGCACTTGACATAAAATAAGCTCAAAATTTATGGGCAAAAGGATGAGAGGAATAGAAATAATTGGATTATTTGACAGAAATGTAGTCCTTGAAACTGTCTGTATCTTCTGGGTTTTAAAATTTTTTTTATTTTCATTATAGGTAAGTACTTTTATTAAAGCCATATAATCTCCCCACCTGAATAAAAAATAGATGTTTGAAGAATGATGTTGAATTTGCAGTACATAATTTTATCTATTCCTTGCTTCACTTGATAATTTTACAGCCATCGAAAATACGCAAGAGCTGCACAAACCACAGTTAATAGCACTGAAAGGACTTGTAATGATAACTTGAAAAACCATGGAAGCTCGTATTTCACTTTTTGCATGCTCAATGTCTTGGTTAACAGTAGGGGGAGGAAATAATTACAGAAATCAGTAAATTGAAAAATAAATGACAGGCTGTGTCCTGTAAGCACATTATGTAACTGACTTAAGTATTTGCAGAATCAGATCTTATGACAGAGCGTCCATTATCCTGTTTTATTTTATATTTTTTGATCAAAGCCATGGTCAGTATTTGGAAAACTGAGACATCTTAATACGTTTTTATTCATAACGTACTGTGAAATGCATACAGGCTTTTCCTTTAACTTTTGCTTTTTGCCTTGCTTGTGTATTTTTAATAAGGTCCACTGAAGTTGGTAGTAATATTAAATTGTGGGGTTGTTTACCTCACAACCATTATTACAGAAACCTCTCCCTAGTCTCAAAGGTACACAGGCCTCATCCCAAGCTCCCTTAGCCCTATCTGTCTTTGTCTGTTATTTGTCTTAAAAGTCAGTCCAAAATTGTGGCTAAGATGGGGCCAGTCTTTCAGAATGAAAAAAAAGAAATAAAAAGAAGCTAAGGACGAACACAGATATCAGTATGTGAAAATCCAAAATCTTTTGAAATATCAAAATCTGTGAAGTTACTTTCACTGTTAGTGTCTTTTTTTTCCCCTCTCTCAAATTCTGCATCATCTCTTCTAATCCACCTGTCATGTGGCTGGCACTATAAACATATTTAGATGTCAGATTACCATTGAAGTACTTTAATGCTGTTAAAAATGTGCATCAGTTTCTCTGTGACAGAAATAATGGCTTCCTACAGCTCTCAAACATGAGCAGAAACTTCTGGATAATACTTCTATGCAGATACATAGCTGTATTCTAAATAATACAGAGTGTTTACAATTATTTCTTTTAGTTACACAGTATGCTACAAACTATGTCTTAATAGATTATTTTAAAGCAACACAATTCCATTGTAAATATGTTATTACTAATGGACTACACTGTATTCAATTTTAGTTATGCAGTATTATTAGCCAGAGTTGTAAAATAAAGAAACGTTCCCAGGTTTTCTATCAAGTACCTTTCCCATGTTCTGTTGAAATTAGACTTGTGCACATTGATATATATATTTATTGAGAACATTTCTTTTTTCTTTTTCTCCTGGTACATTTCCAGAGCTCTAGCATGCAGTGAACGTTTTATAGTCAGAATGTAGTCTAGCAGATGTCATTCCATTTGCCTAAGCCCTGCTGACATTTGGAGTTGTGGATTAATTGAGCTACAGAATGAAATTTAATTAAAATTAAATACAGATTTGGCCATTGTATCTGTTCATTTTTTACACGCTGGTGTGTACATTTGCAGTCAGTGCCACTGTTTATTTGTTTAATCAGAATGCTATGTGGGGGAAGCTGCACTTTGTTTTAAACTGAAATCGAGGCAGATGCCAAGTAGAGCATAATTTGTGTAATTTCATGTGATACCTGCCATGTACATAATGCCTCAGAATGACCTGAAGGATGCAGACTCTTCTGTGAAGTTATTGAAAAAGATAAGACCATGTAAGAGGTGGAGTTTCATTTGTATTTTTGCAGTAAAGATTTTGTTAAAGCTAATGTTTTAAGTTGGTTTATGAAAAAATATGTTCAAAAGTAAAAAATTACAGAAGGGCAATTTATTTCTTTCATAAAGTGCCATTGTCTGAGTCTGTTAAGCTTTGAGATAGGTCTGTAATGGAGATGTCAACAGAAGGCATTAGAAATGTCAATACTTCATCCTAATATTTCTTTTTACTAATAATTGAGTAAGTATATATGTGGAAAGCAACAATATCAGGCAAATACTAGGTAAAGTAGAAGTAGCACAGGAGGGAATATTTATGGATTTTTTTCTTTAAGCATTTAATTTAGATCTGTCTGGAAATATTTCTGCTCCTCCATGTAGGTAGCACTAATTTTAAGTATTCTGACTCAAATCTAAATTAGATGACTCAAGCAGACAGAGCAGATGGTACCAATAACTCTCCATGTATTAAAATAAAGACTTTTGTGATACCATCCTTAATATTGCATAATAGTCGTGACACATTACTACTGTGACATCTGAGGACCTAGAGTATCTCATTTATAGTTTACTGAATGAACAGACTTTTTAAAAACTGAGTCTGTTTATTTAACTTTGTCTTCGATTACTACAGTGAGGAATGTTCTGGTGTAGCAAGCATTCAAAAGCCAGTTGACATATCAAAATATCCTTTGATATTCACTCAGACACTGAGATTAGCTCAGTTGGTCAGAGCATGGTGCTAATAATGCCATGGGAGTGGGTTCCATCCCTCAACAGGCCATTCACTTAAGAGTTGGATTTAATCATCTTTGTGGATCTGTTCCAACTCAGAATATTCTCAAATTTAATTTGCTACAACTTCTGGCTTACAGCTTCCTATTAATACAGGAAGCATCTATTTGCTATTTACTAGGTAATGAAGGATTTATCTTGCATGAGCTTGTCCATTCTCCACTTGGGTCCACATAAGCTCTTAGCATCTTCAGCAATGGATAAGTTTACTGAACTTTGCATGAAGCAATTTTTTTGGTTTTGATGTGGTGCTGTTCTCTGCGCTTGAGGCCCACCAACTCATAAGTTGGAAGAAATTATTGTGAAGTGGATTTCTCTCTAATTCCACACTACTCTAGATTTTGTGGACTTATTATATATCCTGCTTTGACATCTCTTTTCCAGCCTTAGCTAATCCCATCTATTTTTGTACCTAGTTCAATCTTACTATATTTTTTCTTTCTGTAAGTTAAAGGGAAATGAGAAATGCATATGGTGTTCAACACATGTGCAAGCTATGAGTTTGTATCCATTGCTTAGTATATTACTCTTATTTCCCTTCTGAATACAAATCCTTAAACCCAAGGCTGTTTTTTTAAGTTTTGCTTTGGGTTTGAATTTGTTTGGTTTTTCCCCTCATTTTTTGAATGTATGTTCAATGTCCTCATTGAACATACATTTTCCCAGACCTATTTAAGGCTTCAGGGTTTCATGCATGACTGGTAATAATGTAGTTAGAGCCCATCATTTTACCAGTACAGTAAGGACTGAGATTCCTGTGCATATAAGTTCATGTCTGTTGAATTTCACTTATCCCCCTAATGTCCAGAATTTCAGTCATAAGGGCCTTCTTGATATTTGCAACGTCAGTTCTTGACTTTATCACTTGTTGACTCGTCAGCAAACTTTATAATTTCTCATTTGACTCGCCCTCTCCTCAGCAACCATGAACAAGTTAAACACTTGGGTCTTTGTGGAATTCCTGTGGCAATACATGGTGTACTGACTCCTGTGCTTCAGCCAGATTTATGTGTGTTGTGACTCTTTTCCACCATGATTGGTTTCTTTACAAGGCTTTGGTGAAAGACTATGTCAGAAACTTTTAAAATTGGAGTAAACTATATTGAGCACATCTCCTTTACAAACCTAATCGTTGATACATTTTTCACAAACTATTTTGTTTACCAGGGGTGGGCTGACTCTTACCTGGTTTAAGCAATTTATCCATTTGTACACATGTTCTGTTCTTTATTATAGTATCCACTAACTGGTCTGATGTAGTCTTGAGACCAAACTGTTTGCAGGTACTTCCTAGAACACATTTCAAAGATGGGTGGCGCATTTACTGCTCTGCCGCAGTAATTAAGTAGGTGTGCTGGTTTCACCTGGGTAAGGACAGACTCAGAGTTTTTCTCTGTGAATTGGTGGGACCAATTGAAGGCTGTTTTGGTTAATGACAGCCTGAGAAACCAACTGGAGAAAATTAGTTCGCCTCGTGATCACACATTTTGAAGGAGGTAACCGGGGGAAAAAGCTCTCTTTTATTTCTGGTGGCTGAGCCGGTAACACCGGCCCGGCCCAGCCCGAGCTCCGCTCCCATGCTGGGGGGCTCAGAGGCCGCTGGGCCCCGTTTGCAAACCAAGGGACCCGATGGCCGGGGGAGGAAGGCTCATTGATGAGACCTTAGCCCTGTTTCCTCCCCGCGGGCCGCGGCTCTGGGGGAATGGCCTGGCTCCTGCTGCTGGCTCGGAGCAGCTTTGGAGGGGCCGAGCCCGCCCAGCGCCGCACGGCCTGGGGGGAGGCAGCCGGGCCTGTCTGGGAACAGGGGTGGCCACGGGCAGTGGGGGCTGCAGCTGAGCCCCAGAAAACTGAGACTGAGATCTCAGCAGCCCCCACCCAGCACGGCCTGGGCCTGGCCCAGCCCTGTGACTGCTGTGTGAAACTTTAACTCTTTAGTGCTCCGATAAGACCTACAGACCTCCAGCTTTCCTTTGAATGAAAGGGAAAACCAGAAAAGATACAAAGTTAGTGAAGCAAGAGCTAAGTTTCTTTAGATGGAAGGAGAATGAGAAAACACTATAAAAGCTGAAAATCCTTTTGTGAAGTTGTAAGGATGAACTGATACTACACTGAATATTGCTATAAACCATGGAGAAAAACATGGAGGGTTTACAGTGTTCCATTTGACAGATCATTAACCAAAGGCATCTGTGTTGAAAATCCTTCGCCCCGAGGAAAAAAGGGGATTTCTTTTTCTGGAGATGAAGCATGAACAGAGAGAAAGAGAGATGAAGAGAATTTTTGTTTTGGAACAGTTCATTCTTAAAAGTAAATATCCCATGAGTTTAACATGGCCCATAAGCACAGCCTTGGGAAAGCTGTGAAAATAAAAGGAGCCTCACAATTTGTAAGTTCTTTTCCTGGGCAGATGCGAATCGTGAAAAGTGAAGCCACGAGAGAACTAGTTTTTCTCCTCCTTGTAAAGAAGTCCCTGTGGCCTGACAAGAGGAAACTTCTCTCTCTAAAGTGAGCTAAAAAAGACTATTTAAGTTGGGAACTGACTGAAGTAGTTTTTTATATGTTTGTTTTGTTGTTATGAAGGTTGGGAGAGGGAAGGAAGGAGTGGTCTGTAGATCTTATTTGTTTTTGTAGATCTAAATTTGCTTTTCTTTCTCTTTCTTTGTGTCGTTAATAAAGTTTTTTATACCCTTTTTAATTTTAGGCCTGCATTGCTCTTTTGCTCCTGGTTCTGTCTCACAACAGAAAATGAATATATTTAAATTAGCAAATCAGACTATGACATTATTTGGTGCATTGGTCAAGAAACTCAAACCAAGATAGTAGGCTTTAAGTGGTAAGTTGTGCACTACAATTAGTGCTTCAGCTAACCAGTTCATCTTTGAAACAGAATTGTTTGGCACTGGAATTTTGCTATGCATCTTTTGTTATTCCTCTATTTCTCACATAATTTTTTTGACTGACATTTATTTTGAGACAGATTTTCTGCTGAGGCATTTATTAACAAGACTACAAGTGTAGGAACTTCCTCAAGTTTTCCACATTGTATTCAGGAGCAAAAAAATCTACCACCACCACAAACAACAAAAACTAGCAAAACCCCCATGGCACTGGCACTCAAATATTCTTCTAGCCATGTGATCATTCAAGCAGAAAACCTCCTCCTGATATGTTTGAAAACCTATTATTCTATTGCAGGCTTTTGATGACAGCACGGGTTGTTACTCAAACTCTTTCCTGGACTGCCGGATCGGGTTTTTGTAACTAACCACAGTTTAGGATACTATTTTCAACTTCTGGAATGATCCCTTTTTTCTTTAAGAAGTTTCCTTTCCCCTCCTGTTTAATTTTCAGTTCTTCTTGGTGTATCAGTTCTCTGAAATGACCATTTGCTTTCTGCCTCCCACAAGAAGCCTCTTGCCTTTGCATTGCCTCTAGGGATTGAATGCAGCTTCTCTCAGGTGTACAAAGCTTTCTGTCTTCACATGTAGCAGAGCTAGTGTTGCTGAAGTTGGGTGCAGTTTTTTGAGGGAAGGCACAGTCGTGTGGATTTGCCCAAAAAGGTTTAAATCCTATGTATTGTAGCTGCTGTTACGTACTGGATTTTTGACATTTCAAATCCATTCTGTTGTTCTGCTCAAAACCAAATAAAACGTTGTTTCTTTTCCTACAGGCCACTAAACAGACTGCTCCATCAGTCAGTTGTTGATCAGGTCTACAAATCCATTCGTATCATCTGGCCACAGAATTATATTTTTCTAATCCACATATAAGAGGGTGAACGATGTCTCCCAGTATCACAGCATCCTTGCTGTTTGCTCTCCCTTGGCATATCACACAGCATGTCACAGTCCTGGTCAGACAGTCAACAACATCATTCCAATAGGAAGTTGCTCCCATTTTGATCATGAGCACAGCTGAAGTCAAGACCTAATGTGTTTCGTCCCAGCTAAACACATTCTTAACAACCCTCCAAAACTCCCTATCTACAGTATCCATAAAAGTAGATTTATTGTGAATATTTATGCCATATAGCATTGCTTTCCTATTCTCACTTGTAATCACCTGAAGTTTGATTTCTTTTGCTGTTCCTATGTCTGTCTCACTGCTCATTTAAGGAGTAACATTTAGGAACATGGCACTTTATAGTCACAAATAGACTTATAGTGCAATTCATAAAATGTCATACAAATAATTGAGTTTTAAAATGCGTTTGAAAACACATTAAAAGGGCTTAAATGAAACCTTCTTATGCATGTGGAAAAAAAGGGGATTAGGCAAGGGGTTAATGCACTACTGATGCCATTATTTTGTGCAGATGCATCTTCATAGCACGTGAATTGGGATAAAAAAAAGTGGATGGGTGGCAGGAGGCATAAGCTTTTGGACTCAAAGTTGAAATAGAGTGAAGAAGTCAAGACACTTTACATTGAAGGTTAGGAGTACCTGTAATGCACTAATTTGAAGAGGGCCATTGGAGTGAAAAAGGTTAATCCATGTCTGCAAAAAAGTGGTCAGTGGGGTATATCACTCCATGAGAGTCCTCGTACATTGAGTTATATACTAAAATTGGTACTTTTTTTGATTGGGCGTGGAAAACTAAGCTTTTTTATGATTATATAAATTACCGGTGTCAGAAATTGGTTGCAGTTTGGATGAAAACCAGTGAAATAACAAGTATCATTTGGAGGATGGTGAGCTAATAAGGGTGGGCAGTCCCTTGAAAATGAAGAGACACTCTTTTACAGGGCACAGAAAGATTTTTAACCTAAATTCAAAGATGATGGCATTCAGGATGATGTAGTAACAGGGCAGATGGAGAGAAAACACAAAAGAAAATAGACAGGGGTCAGTGTTTTTTGGAGGCAGCAATCAGAATTCGGTGCTGTTCTACATTAGAGGCACAGCTGTGAAAGAAGGAAGTGGAAGACATAAAGAGACAAGAGGTTACAGGTACAGATACAGACACCAGAAAAGAGCATTCAGAAATAGAAGGCAGTCATGGCAGCAGAGGTAAGAAAGATACTATAGAAGAATAAGCAGATCACATTACTGAAGATTAGAGTAGGAGGAATACAGTGGCTGTATTGAGAGTGTTGTTTTGTACAAGTTAAGAGATTATGTCATGTACAAATTAAGGTTAGGAGATGCAACAACACGTAATGGGGATACTCTAGAAATTTTTCAGCTGTCAAAAGGATTTGGCTCCTGAGCCACCATGGCCAAGAGCCTGTGTTCAGCAAGAGCCACTATGATGTGGGGTTTTATGTAACTGAAGGGAAACATTAAAGGACAATCTGATTTTATGGGAAGCATCTCTCTGTGTATAAAGAGAGTGGTTCATTCAAACCCACAGCACAATAGTCCTATGTAGTGCATTTCTGATTTTAAATATCAGCTGGTTTATTCATGCAATATCTATTGTTTTTAAATTTACTGATCTATTATTGTCAGTTATCTTATAATCTTGAGCTTCATGGTAACTATTTGCTGATTTTGTTTTGTGTTGGTTTGAAAGTAAAACCAGTGCGAGACTCCAAGTCAGTAATACAATTTAATAGGAGAAAAGAGAAAAAATAAAATACATGCAATAATATGAAAGAAACAACCACCAACACAGTCAGAAGTACAACCTGACACCCTGTCAGTCAGGGTGTTTGTAGCAGTCCGTATAAATGGTGGCTGCAGTCCTCCTGGATGATGGATGTGGTTCAGTTGAAGCAGTGCTCCTGTAGAAGGTGCAGTTTTCCTCCAAAGATCCAGCGATGATGTGGAAAAGGTCCGACTTTCCTCTGGGATCCAGTGGAAAGGGCTGCCTTCGCGTCCCAAACCCCAGTTTTTTATCTAGGCAGGAAAGGCTTGGCTCCTGCCCCTGGTTGGGGCATCTCCCAATGGGATGATGTAATCTTATCAGTCACACAATAGGACTTAATGGCCCATTAACGGAATATATCTTCTGGAGGAAGGATGGGTTGTGAATAGATAACGATGATCATCCCCCGATCTTATCAGATGGCACATCAGCAGAGGATATCTCCCACAGAGATAAGGATCACCACCCCTCCCACATTTTAATAGATGGTGATAGAATACACATTTTTGCATTGTACCCCAGGACATGTTTATAAAGTTTTAAACTGCCAGTTGGAGTCATTGTATACCTTTTCATTCATCTATTCACGATAGTCAGATAATCTACATTTGCAACTAATAGTTTATCACAGCCTTGGAAAATTAGGGACTATTAATTTTGCAATCTACACATTTTTAAACTGAGTTTTCTGCTAATATTGAAAAGTAGACGGCAATTCTTCATGGATCCATTCAATCTGGTTTATTTAGGGGGAAAACTAATATCTCATCTTTCTTCATTGCATGCTTGCAAAAATGAAGATTGTTTAAACAAGCTCTAGTTCATTGGAAAGTCAAACTAATTTTAGTGTGTGTTATTGATGCTGGCAACTTTCATATGTGTATGTATGCATCTATATGGATATTACTCAGTGTGAAAGTCTTGTACTCTTTTTGACCTTGGTTCATGGATGGTGCTTCTGGAAGTATACAAATGGACTTTCACATTAAAAATTGGAAAATATGATAATGTGAGATAAAAAATGTCTTACAATCAGTCCCATTAGAAATTAATAATCTGCATTTAATATACTCCATTATCTAAGTTACATAGATAATAATAAGTTATATAAAAACTAATAACTGACATTTGCTGGAGAAATTGCTTGGTGGGGTTTTCTACTTTACATTATTTAGATTTGCCCCTAGATTATTTATTATGGAGAAATTTGTGCTGTCATTCAACCAGCATTGGAGGTTTCAAGTGGAGCCAGTAAATGCTTATAAAGTATTACATCAGATTTAACTTAAACTTTTTCCTTTCTCAGGTTGTCTATGGCCTGATTTAGAACATATACTCAGAGCATCTACTCCTATTCTGGAGTAGCTGTTGTATAAATGTAAATGATTTTATTTTCTTGTTTTGAAAATTATATAGGATCAAAAGACAGAAAATTTAATTTTAGAAACATGTTCTAAAAGCATATGATTGTCCCAGTAGACCTGGATAAACTTCTGCTTTAATAGATTTTGTCAGGTGTATCCTATGGGCACATTCTTCTGC